ACTACCCACACACTTCACTACCCAGCCACACACTCCACTACCCAGCCACACACTCCACTACCCAGCCACTCACTCCACTACCCACACACTCCACTACCCAGCCACACACTCCACTACCCAGCCACTCACTCCACTACCCACACACTCCACTACCCAGCCACACACTCCACTACCCAGCCACACACTCCACTACCCAGCCACACACTCCACTACCCACACACTCCACTACCCAGCCACACACTCCACTACCCAGCCACTCACTCCACTACCCACACACTCCACTACCCAGCCACACACTCCACTACCCAGCCACACACTCCACTACCCAGCCACACACTCCACTACCCACACACTCCACTACCCAGCCACACACTCCACTACCCAGCCACTCACTCCAATATCCACACACTCCACTACCCACACTCCACTACCCAGCCACACACTCCACCACCCAGCCACACACTCCACTACCCAGCCACACACTCCACTACCCACACACTCCACTACCCAGCCACACACTCCACTACCCAGCCACACACTCCACTACCCAGCCACACACTCGACTACCCAGCCACACACTCCACTACCCACACACTCCACTACCCAGCCACACGCTCCACTACCCAGCCACATACTCCGCTACCCAGCCACACACTCCACTACCCAGCCACACACTCCACCACCCAGCCACACACTCCACTACCCAGCCACACACTCCACTACCCAGCCACACACTCCACTACCCAGCCACACACTCCACTACCCAGCCTCACACTCCACTACCCAGCCACACACTCCACCACCCAGCCACACACTCCACTACCCAGCCACACACTCCACTACCCAGCCACACACTCCACTACCCAGCCACTCACTCCACTACCCAGCCACATACTCCGCTACCCAGCCACACACTCCACTACCCAGCCACACACTCCACCACCCAGCCACACACTCCACCACCCAGCCACACACTCCACCACCCAGCCACACACTCCACTACCCAGCCACACACTCCACTACCCAGCCACACACTCCACTACCCACACACTCCACTACCCAGCCACACACTCTACTACCCAGGCGCACACTCCACTACCCAGCCACACACTCCACTACCCAGCCACACGCTCCACTACCCAGCCACACACTCCACTACCCAGCCACAAACTCCACTACCCAGTCTCACACTCCACTACCCAGCTACACACTCCACCACCCAGCCACACACTCCACTACCCACACACTCCACTACCCAGCCACACACTCTACTACCCAGGCGCACACTCCACTACCCAGCCACACACTCCACTACCCAGCCACACGCTCCACTACCCAGCCACACGCTCCACTACCCAGCCACACACTCCACTACCCAGCCACACACTCCACTACCCAGCCACACACTCCACCACCCAGCCACACGCTCCACTGAGATCTCTGAGCTCCACCGATCGTGCCACATTCAGCGTGGTGACCGCGCTTCAGGCACTGACCCCTGCTCACACAGCGCCCAGGGGCTCCGGGGTTACCTGCCCCTTGGAGGTCAGAGACTCACAGTCGATGGAGACTTCTAAGTCCCGGCCGAAGACCCCCTCCAGCTGTTTAACATGACCTCTCCCCCGCTCTCTCTATAGTGCTCTCTCTGTCCCTAATTATTGTTGTTGTTTTGTGCATCATAAGAAAGTTGCTAGCCTTTGCAACTCAATGATGTGCGCAAATGTGTTTTTAGTTCACAGTACACGTAGCATCACAACACACTCTTGCGTGACTTCGCAACAGCGGGCAGATGGTTGTGGTGAGAAAATGAGAGGTGAAATGCTTTGTGATTACTTCATCTATTGCACCGTAAACACAGCCCAAGATTAGAAGAAATAAAAGCATCGACTTACCAAACGAGTCACTGGTATATAGAAATATTGTCGGTTTTATCATTTGCGAATAATTCATTTAAGCGTTGGTTTGCAACACCCTGGTCGACTCCATCAATTTATCCAGAACCTCAGAGATAGTAAACCTGTGATCGACGGTAAATAAACATTTTATAACACCTGACTAATTCTCGCGGTTAAATGGCCTCGGAATTTTCTCTTCTTCCCTTTCGGATGCTCTTCGATTGCTGAGTTAATTGATTTCCGTGTAAACATTTGAAAAAGGTAAGGTCCGCGATTGTGGTATTGAGAACATCACATTGACCGTTAATTAAAATAGCAGAAGCAGTTCTAAAGAAATTAGTTTCAATCTAGATGTAGTAGTGCATAGCTCCAGTGGCTTCCTAATATCGGAGGGGAGAGCGTTCCAGACGGTCGCGGGAGCGCATCTAAAAGTGCCCGTTCTTTGTTCAATGGCGAGCCAAGAAGCTGTTGCTGTGAGGATGACCGGAGTTCGCGTGATGGTGGTTCATGCTCCTTGACGAAATCAGCGAGGTGCTGACGAATATGCGGCAGCGAGATGGATCGCTTCATCGCGAGACTCCGAGACGGGGTGAGGGCTTGGGGAGGCCTTCATCCAGTCGTGGATGATGATGAACAGGATGATGGTAATCTTGAGAGTTGCGGAAGAAAATATTTGCAAAGGGGTGCTAATTTAGATCCTTTCCAGAAATAAATTCTGCGAACACTCACACACCACATTCCGAATTACGGTGAGGTTTGTAACGGGTCACAGGAGGAGTTATGCCAAAAGATTACTTTCAATAGCGCGGTAGCTGATGTGGAATTTAATAAAATTGACGAAGCAGAGAAAGGTTTACACATATAGATAAATACCAACAAAAACTATTGAAGTTTAATGAAATATTTATTTGACACTAGAACTCGGAGAAGAAACGTCTTCATGAAAAACTGCTGAGATTACTGTAGAGCCTTCAAAATGAGGTCTGTTACGCAGTGTAAAACTGCAGAATGATTAGACTTCGAACTAGTTTTCATAGTTGAAAGGTTTTGCAAAATACTACCATGTGAGCTGCTCAAAGTATTCACTGTCAAAACACGGGCTAATTCAGTTCGAGTCAGTTTGGATAATTGTTACAGCTGAGCATTTATGCTCAATGGGAATGTGTGCAACATGCAAAAGTGGTAGTGAAAAAAACTAATAAAATTATGAGTCCGAAATAGAGAACATGAAGTTCCAGGGCACATGCTATTACATACACAAGGAATGCACACACTTTGAAAACTGCATTCATCGGTAATCACGTAAATGCCCAATAAGTCGTAAAGCATCTACATTCAATGCATTTCTTCACTTTTTCACAGCGGACATCGATGCAGGATTGTTCAGAGCGCAATCTTTGTTGGTCCAATGTTCGTCACGTTTCAAATGTAGCTTTACATTTTGAATAAACGTGGTGAACGCAACAACGAAGTTGGCCAATTATGACCACGGGAGGTGAAAAAAGCTGAATCCTGCAATCTGAGGCAGCGGGTCGCCGATGTGCATCTACAATGCAGACAATGTCTGATTTCACAGCATTGATCTGCTTTAACACTGAAAAAAAAATCAATGCAACAGGCAGGCCCAGAGGTCATCCTTTCAAACAACATTGCAGCGGGGAGTTAGTCGTGAATGGCAGATCTTAGAAATAGTCCGGCAGGCAGATACGTTGTGGTGTAATCCATCAGATCATTGCAAATGCATTTACACACTGCCTCATAACAAATGAGGCGCTAAGGGAATGTGTCTGATACACACGACGAGAGTAAATGGCACGTTTGTTTTTTTAGCAGTATACAAAAGCATGCAGTGAAAAAGGCAGATGCATAAATAGACGAGCCAAAATGACTTTGCCCTCGTTCTCAAAAGTGTTTTTTTTTCATGCACGCTGCTACGTTTTGATGTTGTGATACCACGTGCCAAGATGAGCTCTGGGAATCTATTATTCTGTCATCTGGAAATAACTTCAAACCAAACCCGCCCAGCTCTCTGGCAGGTCGACGTAGATCACGACGTTTCCTTGAGCGAGAGAATTCTGTACACAAATCACCACCTGCTATAGATTATAATGTCCCTGCAAAAACAAAATGAAGCGCTTAATTTAACCGCACGCTGTTAAGGGGCATTTGCCGAACATGTACGTTTCAAAAGTTCAAATGTGGTGATTCTTAATGCCAGCTAAATCATTTTAGCTAGTTTAACACGTAGGGCCTCGGCAACCAATACCATCCATAATACAGGTTTTCTGGGTTAGATCGCGTAAATGAATAAATGTGTCATTAAACCCGCCACTGCCCGACACAGCCAATTAGTAAGGGTTGTCACTTAAACAGAACGTGCCAATTCGTCACTAGTACAGCACGCCGGATGGGTGTTGGAGAGCCAAGCCACAACATTTACAATCTGAGTATGACGTTTCATAAGTAATTACAACAAGCTTCATCAGGCGACAGTCAGATTTGTCAGGATAGATGTGATGACAACAGCTAATTCACATAATTGTTTGGCCATTTAGATAGACAATGAACCGTGAGGATGTGTCAATGTCGTCGTATTTGAAGTCATGTTCTTTAAACTTCAGTTAAGGATGATTACGTATTCATGCAGATGTTATCCTTCTCTCTTTAATGTTTACACTGGTTAGGACAAAGATTGCTCACGTAGCCTTTATCAGACTGTGCTGTTTGCGAGTATCTCTGAAGGCCGTCAATACACACGAGGGGGTGGGTGGCCAGCACCACGCCCGGCCGCCTTTGTCTCCCGAGTGGCGATGTTTACACACCACACCAGGTACTCATTCGAGGCTGAGTCGACCTAGGGGGAGGCCCAGGACTGGTTCAAATATTTGATCGTAAGCGGGAACTGGTACCTAGCCCATTGCACTAACCACTAAACTGCCGCTCCCCATTAGTATGCACAAACAACCAGCGTACACGTACAACAACATCATGTAAACAAACATTTGAATATATGTACTCAGAGAAAGAATGGAAATGTAATTATTGCTCCGAATATCATAATGACGGAGCCTCTGGACAGGAAATGTTTGTAAAACGTGCACTTACTGCATGTGGTAGGGTGAATCATCCTCCGTGTCGTTCCCCTGGCCAGCCCACGGTGCGGTAGACCGGTGTGACTTGCTGCAGGACAAATTCCTTTAAAGTAAGGAAGGGAATTACGGTTTTTTTTTGGACTAAGCGAATATAATTTAGAATTTGAAACAAATTTTTTTTTTTTTACAAATTCACCAATCAATCCATGTAGATGTGAATGTTCACGTTTCACATCTTGATGAATACGAGTGGCCACACATGCAAGGTCACTTGCCACGCTTAGGTATTCTGTAAAGACACACCTCTTGCTGCTGGCCTCCATTTGCCATCTGTGACCAGTGCTCTCTGGACTTTGAAGTTTTTACATTTCCTAACTTCCCCGAATGGCACACTGAGATCCCTGGATGAATTGTGCCTTACAAATGTAAAATATTATTATTATTTCTCGAGTAAAGCCCATTGAGCTATACATATTGTATAACTATATAATTTTTTTTTCAAAGTTGAAAACACATTAAACTCTAGATTCCATGCCTAATCATTACCATGCTCCCCACACCCATTTACTTTTCTTAATTGTCAATATGGTACCTTTGATTTGTGTTGTTCTCAAATTGATTATTTCTCTCCTTATAATTTTCAAATGTGATTGTTTTGCTTTGCACTTCATTTACTTTGCTGTATCCGTTCCATTTTGTTTGTCGGGGTGCACGTGACTGACTCATGTTTCCTTTCTGGCAGTGTGCACTGATTGAAAACCTCCTTCTTGGGACACATCGATACACTTTCCTCATCGATGCACACTAACTTCCGGCGTTATGTATACCTCTACCATAGGTATTCCATTCTGCTCACTCGCTCTCTTGATTTCATCGTTCTGTTTCAATCCACCTTCAACAACTGCCCGAGGTGGATATTCTGTTGAGTGTTCAAATTAAATGGTAATTTGATTTACCAACATTTATACTAAGTCAATCTTTGCAACCTTCTTTGTGAAATTCTCCAATCATTTTCTTTCATAATTCATTTCCACTGCTTGTTAAACTATCACCAGCAAATCCATACGATCTTTGTGAACAACTTATAAACATGTGATAGGACTAGCCTGTCAGTATTCAAATCAGTTTTGTCCCCATTTTTTAAAGAAGAATGATTGCAACATCATCCCTATGTTGGAGGCATCTCCTCTCAGTGTAACCTTTAGTAAACAAGTGCACTAATTGTGTTTCAACTTCTGGTTCCAATTACTTTGATGGTGTCCACAGTTATTCAATGTGGCCTGGGAATTTGTATTATTTCATACTGCAAAGGGCAGAGGTTATGTTAATACTGAATGGTAACGCTTAAAATTTCTTAGTCACTGTGTTTCACTGGGCTACTATGTTCGACAAACCCAAAGTTTTTTTTTACAAATTCTATATACTAATTATAATAATTTGTTTACCTAAAAAAAACATATTTTAGTTGGACAATGTTATAATGCAGTACACCTGTGTGGGAGAGAAATTAAGACACAGCGTGTCAGAATGCAGTTTTCCCTCTATCCAAAGCGATGTGCAAGTGCACGTTTGCAAACACTTCACCATCGCCTAAATAGTACCATTTTTCTTTCTTTACTTATCAAGGCACAAATACCTCATCAAACAATCCATTCAGTGATTGAATAACCATCACGTACGGCCAGTGCAACAATATGGTGGCCACGAATGGCCAGCGGCGAGGACAAATGCGCAAAAGCCATTTTACTTTGCGGTCCCCGGGTCAAACTCATCAACTGGTCACGTTTAACCAACACCAAGGTCCCCCCCGCCGCGTGGCTGCAACTGACATTGTTGTACTGACTTCTCCAACGTCACACAAACACCCCGCCATTCCCCCCTTCCCGTGCAACCGCAAAAAAACACGTACGGAAAGCAGCAAATGTCCTGGTGTGCGGTCCAGAATTTTGTCGAGGTACTGCAGGACATTGCGGGCAGCCTGCCAGGGCAGAACCTCCCACTCCCGCCTCAGATAACGACTCAGGCGCAGCGCCAACTCCTGGGGAAGGTATCCTGCCCTGCACACAAATGCATGCAAAAAAAATTAACCCGTAAAAACAAAGTTTTTCACTATAAATCCTTTATATGCGTGGCATCGGTTTTATTTTATTATTCATTTCTGTTTTTCTTGAGTAAGAGTTTCATTTTTATCACATTGGTATTTTAAATTAAATATGATTTTTTTTTTTCCTAAAAAGTGGAACATTTTGGAAAAACATTTTTCACGAAAATAAATTGTCACGCACAACGAGTCTGTGTGCAAAATGTCAGCTCGATTGGATCACGGGAAGTGGGTTAAAAAAACGACCGAAAGATTTGCACGGTCGTAAGCGCGCAAGCAAGCAAGCAAGTGAACTTAATATAAAGGATTTTAAAAAGATAAGTGTATGCCACCGTGCTGTGATGTGGCCCATCTCATCCCATGCATGCCACGTATTGCCTTTGGTCAAAGTGGTATCATCCAAGCTCAGCAGAGGGGCTCATTATCCCAGCCGGTACAGTACGGAGGGGTTGTATTGATGAATATTCCATAATTTAGTAATTGCCGGTAGCCACATTTTCCAGATTTGACAAAATTGGGCCGTGAATGGAGTGAATTAAATTGTAGGTATTGAATCTAAACTTTGCGGGAACTGATGCATCTTCTGACACCAAACCACAGCATGATTGGATTGTGGCTTTGATGCCTCGTTGGTAGGAATACAAACCACTATATTATCTGAAAGCAAATTTTTTTAACAGATTAAATACATTAAAAAATAATACACTAAAACATCACATATGTGATTCGCTGGGGGCTGAGTTAAATACTACACTGGGTGTGTGGGCCATTTATTGGTCGGAGATGATTGGATCGCGACATTTGCACTAAAATAGTAAAATCTCGTGACACGCACACGTTGCTCGTGAAGGGCTCTACAATACACCTCGCAATCTCTCAAGGCCGATAACGCAATGTGTAATGACACCATTGTAAGGATCGTGAACAAAGAACCTTCTTCCAAAAAAAAAATACGTTAAAAAAAACCTGCATGTCGTGCAACTTAACCTAGCATTTAGGGCGAAAATGTTGGCAACGTTTACAGATTGTCTATTTGCAGCAAATTACAATGCTTTTGTTCAAAAAGCAGGCATTATCCCGATCGGCAAGCGTCGAGGCGATATTGACCAGTGATTCTTTTTTCGTGAAAAAACGGACATAGCCCTCCCTAAATTTCACAGAGTATAATTTTCAGAGATTGAGTTCCCACAGGGTTGCACGCTCTTCCAAATAAGATATCCGGAGCAGCCGGAGGAGCGGCCGCAGGACATTCCTGTTCACTCGAGGGGTCATGAATTTCAGAGTTTTCGTTGTTCCGAGGAAATAGCTATTGTTTGTAAGTGTGATTAAGTGTGATTGCAGGTTCCCAGGCAATAATGCAGGCTCCAATGAACACCGGGGTGCCGTGGCTAGTTTTTCTCCAGCATTGCCACTGCTGATACGAAGGTGGCTTTGGAAGAACCCGTGCTGTCTCTTCCCCCCCCCCACCCCACCTTGCTCCCACCCCCTGCTCGTGCACCCTGCTGGCTATAATTAGGACAATTAATACGGAAAAAGAAGAAGTCCTTTGCTTTAGACTGCACACGTGTCTGAGGGGAGCGAGCGAAGCAATCACTGCACATCGCCCGATATCGCTGGAGTTCAATTCCTAGGTGTGCACATCGGCAAATCAGCGGTTGTCTCTAAGGGGGGCAACGAAATTAGATTTGAGTACCGAGTAGCTGCGTAATTATTAACTGATTCGGCAATTGAAATCAATTCTTATGCTCGCAATAAATGCATTCCAAACGGGCGTCGAAAACATAAATATATACAATGTATCTGCATATTATGCAAATGCGATTTCATGCTGGAGGAACACAAGATGAAACAAACAAACCTGAATGCGTGAGGCAGACAATAGAGAAGGTACATCACACGGCAAAAAAAACCCCACAAAGGATTCTTGAATCGATTTGTGAGTCCAAGTCATATCAATTCATCGAATGGCCAGAGGGTAAATCCATAAGTGCATAATACCCAGTGCAAGGTCACTGAAGCTTGGGAAATACATTATGTGGTTGTGCATGGCACGAATAGCATCAGCAGTGGCTGTGTGCACCGAGTACAGTTTTTGAATGCGAGCTTGACATATATTTAAAGTAATTCTCTTGCATGAGAGTTAGCAATCATCGACAAGTACAATCATGACTCTCAATCTGTCCTGGCAGTGCAGGGGGGGGGGGGAATACAGAGGGAATTTGCGTAAGTGTGGGTGAGTGTGTGAGATCAGTGCATCTATCTCAAGCAGAGGAGGTGTGACATTTCGACTTTGGTTAGTTAAACTTTCTTTTCTATTACCTCGGATGGGAAGCGTGTGCGAGTAGTGGACATTACTGACCTGGCAAGGTTGAAGGAGTCGTCAATTAATCCTGCACGGTTTCCAACTGAAATGACCTGGGGAGAATGTGCCATGGTCCCAACGTTAGAATGTTAATGCACTCACACCGTGGGAGAGAGTGAGGGGCGAAGTTGCCCCTGACTCCGTACCATTGGAACCTCATTTGCCAGTAAAAAATATGATAATTGGTTTTTTACCCTTCTATCTGGCAACAAAACTGACACCTTTTTTTACAAGGAGTCATGTTTGCATAGACCACAATACCTGCAGTCGTAATGCAAAAAAACATAACTCTGATAATGTATGCACTGTCCTTGAAGTTGATTGGTCCACACCCGAGACAGCTTTCCTTAGAGCGCACAACTCAAAGACAATGCACCATAAGAGTATGAGAGCTCGGGGTAAGCATTTACACCATTGGAACCTCATTTGCCAGTAAAAAAATATGATAATTGGTTTTTTACCCTTCTATCTGGCAACAAAACTGACACCTTTTTAACAAGGTGTGGACCAATCAACTTCAAGGACAGTGCATACATTGTCAGAGTTGTGTTTTTTGTTTGCATTACGACTGCAGGTATTGTGGTCTATGCAAACATGACTCCTTGTAAAAAAGGTGTCAGTTTTGTTGCCAGATAGAAGGGTAAAAAAACAATTATCATATTTTTTACTGGCAAATGAGGTTCCAATGGTGTCTCTGTAGTTTTTATTTTCACTTTGGTCAGCTTCACACAAGGGTCGCAAATTACGTGTTTTGCAAGAATAAAACTAGAAATGTAAACGATTGATTATTTAAATGGTTGTACACTTGTAATTGGTGTTCTGTAATCCCAAATTAAAATAAGATGCAAGAGCTGGAATATATTACATTTCTGACCACAATACTTAAACTATTTAAATATCTTAAGATCATGGGAGATGTGATCCTTTTCTTTCTTCGCGATTGAAGATGCTGAATCGGTGATGGAAATTACATAGAACATCCTACCACGGTGATTTCATTTGGTGAAACTGATTGATTTTTTTTCAATGCCGGAGAACGTAGAACTGCACAAATCAAACTAAGGCCAGCATTTTAAGTCAAACATTTCTGGTTGGAGGCCGATTGCACTACCAACTGATTCATACCCAAGCAAACCAGAACAAAGCCATTATTAACTACTAAGCCTCTCTTCGTCAGGCTAAAGTCTTCAATAGATATAGTAATTAACCTGATACGATTTTTAAGATTGTTATCTACGATCAGACGCTAACAACTACTCCACATATGTGTTCTTTTCTGCTGAAAAAGAAAAGTGTTGACGACTTAATTCAACTTGTTATATTTAAAGATGTACCCATCAGAAACCGCTCAAATTAGAGATTCCGTTCTTTTTTTATTAGCAAAGAACAAAAATGAATTAACGTAATGCGATGTGATGGGAAGCTCCATATTTTACCGTTTTACGAATTATTCAGATTTGAAGATCATAAAATGCAGATTTTTTTTCGTTCAAAACCGCTTGAATCCGAAATTTCTCAAAAATAATCAAAGATACAACAATGGTTCTGGCGTTAATCTTATTTGCTGTTTAATGCTCTACCTTGTCGGAAATTACCCTAGAGGTTTTTGAGATGTATATACAGATTAAGGTCTTCATTTATATCGAAGATACATCCGTGCTTTGCACATCGACTTTACAAGTGTAGTGTATAATGCTGCATTTCCCACTTTCAGATGTGGACTTCAACGGTCAAATTCACACACGTCTGTAGATTATACAAATAAACACAACAACAATGATAACACTCATATCGTTGTGGTCACACTTTCATGAGTTATGATTGCAGATTTACACCAACACAACCGAGTGCAGCTCACGAACAAGCTTATGAAGCACAGCTGATTTATATATATATCAGATCAACACTCGAATCATGCATTCATTGCGATAAACACAAGAAATAATAATCACAGTAGCTTCTGCAGATATACTTTAGACCGTATGTAATTTACACACGCTCTGAATGTGCTCGACTTGATTTCCATTAGCCTTCTCACCTTCACTCCCTTGCATTTGGGAATGAAATATAATTACTCCTTAGATGGTTTTGCAATTACAATTTCATTTTGGCAGTTTTAAATCCAGTGGCCATGGAATATTAGAGCATTTTCACCTGAAACCCTGGGGAAAATTGTGATGCCAACAGTTGCTCATAATTATTCTGCTAGAATGATCAAACTGTATTTTAATAGACAACAGCTAAGTACATTATTCGGTCTGGGATTTGGTGTTGAAATGTATTCACACTATTAAAACTTAAGCACGTAAACACACGTCGACTATTTTACATAATGAGGCATGCGCACACACACGAGATAGTGGCATTTCGTAGTGCACGTCGGCAAGTGGGATTACGTTGCGAGACAGAACGAGGAACACATGGGATTCAGAGAATGTACGCAGACCAGTGACAAAATGCAAACTATGAACGAAAGTTAGCGGCTTTGGGCAGCAGGATACGTGGAGTGATGACCGGTGACCAAGAATAGTGACGGAGCGAAAGAGGAATGTAACAAGTCCCAGGATGTCCACTGAAGGAAAATCAGCTCATGTACAGGTGCTCGGTGAATTAATGGAGTTATTCATGGAGCGTTATCGTGGAACGGCGAGAGATTGCAGGAGATTGAGGGAGGCCTTCATCCAGCAGTCGATTGAACATGGCTGCCAATAATGATGATTGGTAAAGGGATCATTTTCCCCATGGCTAATTTCCTCCACTCTGAGAACGTGGATGAATGAAAAAAAAAGTCAATATGAGTTAGTCACCATTATAACCATAGGGAATTAACAATCAATGTGCATCAATGTTTCAGTAAATACGAATTACTGCCACATCGGAATTAATTACTGGGCTGTCGGACACACCACTGTGGTGTACTCAGTATATAGGTGGCAGTTACAGGGCAGTGCTAGGGGCCATCGGGAAGGGATAGCTTGTTAACAATGAACTAAAAACGCAAAAATAAAAGTGGTTTCCTTCTCATTTCAGCAAGGGACAAAGCTCATCCCCTCCTTACAGCCTTGAGGCAGCAATGAAAATGCTGCCTCAAGGCAGGAGTGAGTCAATTCATATGATTGACCCCTGAGGGATGGAGGGCTGAGTAAGCACTTAAACCGGGATTTGAACTTCTGACCTTATGATTGCGAGTTCCACGCTTTACCACTGCACCACCTGGCCAGTTTACTTTCAGATATATATCTAATGCATAATCAAAATCAGCAGCCATTCTCTATCTCCTGCTCAGCGAAATAATCCCTGTCTTGGTATCATTGCCTGCGTTTATTTCTGTATACCTGCAATTATCAAACCTACAATTTTAAATTCTGAGCATTAAGTATGCTATCCAAAAATATGGTGGTATGTTCTTTTTTTCATGTAATTTAACTGATAATTATTACCTAATTAGAGAGCACTGTCAGCAAAATGATCGACTCACAGTCAAAATGCTGCTGCTCAACTCATCCTCCCTTTGGAGTCATTAAAATTGAGTACCACTTTTGTAGGAAGTGAACAGCAACTATTTTTGTTCACCTTATAAACATGAGTAATATTACATTTCGTTCAGGGTCCCATAGCGTATAGTGCAGTTTCCAACTATTATTCACCCAATCCCTCTGGCCTATCTAACTCCCTGCTATGAAGAAGGGCCATTTTCTCAAATGTCACCTATAATACACATCTACCATCGTCTTCGGACAAATGTGTTGAGCGTTGTATTGTTTTTGATTTTGCCAGTGCAGTATTACAAGACATTATTATTATTAGTGGTTGGAGAGATTTTTTCCAATCTCAGGAATGTATAATTTGCCATTGGAGATGAGTAACCACTCAGTATACATTTGAAAATGTACACAATTTTCTTTCTGTATGTCAATCACTCCGGCTATTATTACTACAGTCACACGTATTTTTGTACGCATGGCCAGATTTCCTTAAACCCCTTTTTAAAATACCAGCCCATTGACCAAAACAACCCGGAATTCACCTGATCTCAATCAGACCTACGAAGCTAAGCAGTTGCTAACTTGGAAAGGATGAGCAACCCCCATGCATAAAAACAGGTGCAGTGGGCATGGTTGCTGGTAGCAGCGGGCAGTGCAACAAACTCCGTTGTTGTCCTCTGCTCCCCCCACTTTCACCACCCACTAAGTGTGGGGAAGTATGGTCAAATAGACCGCACATTGTGGGTGGGCCCTTCTCCAGCTGCGGATTGGCAAACGGGCTGTACATGCGGAAATGCTTGAAATATATCAGCAACCATTTTTTGATATTTAAACGTGTGTTTTTGTTTTATTTACATTGATCTCAATGCCATTTAACAATTTTACGGTTTTCAAAAAAAATAAAATCCAATGCTGTTCTGGGAATGCACACAGCCCACTTGAGGAACATGGACAATAGTAATATCTCCATTAAAGCTGCATCATGACCCCAAGATTCTGCGCTCCGCTATCCTTTAATATATTCATTTATAGATTATTTTTTACCCGGCAGTAGCATAACCCAGGACAGAGCTTCCGCAGAGAGGAGATAAACAATTATCTACACAGGCTCCCCCATCTCGCTTGCCTTATAAGGCCTCACCTTTGTCGTTCAGATAAATATGCGATAAATGTGCGTGATAAGCTCCTCACTTTATCGCATCACGAGGCATTTATCACACATGTTGTATTAACTTTGCAAATGTCCACGCTACCTTTTGTACATTTATGACAACAAATGTACACATACATAATTCTTCCATAATAAAAATACCGTCATCAGAGCCTTGTTAGAGAAATCACCTTCGCTCACTTCATATGCTCCAACTATCCTCGCCGCCCAGAAACTGTTCCTTATGAATTTAATCACTGAACACCATCTCCCCTATCCACACATGCTCGATAAAATCAGACCTATGCATCCAAAGACCACTGTCTCTCCAGCCAATTGTGTGGGAAGCTATAGAAGCCACAATCAGTTGCTTTTTTCATATCTCTGTCTTTGCACGCCTGTTTGGATTCAGAGCGCA